AACATAGGATCAATTTATATAAAATGGTCTAACATTTAGTATCAGAGCTTCCATTGCCTCTGTCTTGTTTTCGTATTGGTTCTTCCAAATTCAATATTTTTGTGATTTAATATTGAGTTTTGAATAATTTTTTTTCTAATAATTTTGTTTGAACAATACCCTTAATGAATAGTAACAAGTATGTACAATAATCCTGATTTCTGGAAATTTCAATAAAAGAACAGTAAATCAATGAACAGTAAATAAAAAAAATTATTTTTTTGGCACAGACTAGGTATAAAACTCGCGCCCTATTCCTTCCAAATCAGAATCTCAATTGTTGGACTTATTGGTTTATCAAGCAAGCTGGTTTTGTTTATAAACATTTGACGTTATTTTACTGATAATTATGCCTCATTTATTCATTAATCTTTGAATTAAAACTTGTGAATAAATTGAAATTTAATTATAATGTTAATATAATTATTTCGCTACTTAAATAATTGAGTTTTTATGTCTAGTGATTGTTATAAGATTAATTAGTTTGGATTAGCCACAACATCCTTAAATTAATTGAGATTATTTCTAAAGTTTTGATATCACATTAATTATAAGACATAAAATTGTGATTAATTATATGTGATATAATGAATTTTATCCTACTGGAATCTTCATAATATTTGTATAATTATTTAAGAAAAAATGTCAAATTAGTTTCATAACTTGCCCACAGAAATTTTGAATTGATATATAATTTGATAGTTTTATTATAAAGTATAATTTTGGATAGAAAAACTAAATTACTTCATGTCTATAAAGTATCAGGTTGTGTATCTAGTTTGAAAAATCTATCCCAAAATAAATAAATCTTATTACATTAAAATTTAGTGGGATACACCGATTTAAGTTGGTGTAGTTATGTTAAGGATAAAAAATCTACAGTAGGATATGTGTTTATGCTAGTGGTGCACAAGTTACTTGGAGTTCGAGAAAGGAACCAATAGTGGCGTTATCATTGTGCAAAGAAGTACATAGCTACTTCTCTTTGTGCATGTCAAGCAACATGGATGGTGAACTTGGTCAAAGAAATCAAGGGAAAGATCATGGAGCAATTACCATGAAGATCGACAGCATGTCAACTATTGACCTGGCCAAGAATCCGATAGCACATGGTCGAATCAAGCACTTGATGTTTCACTATCTTTGATAGCAGATGGGAAGATGAACTTGGAACATTGTAGTACTAGGAATCAGATTGCAGACATCATGAAGAATGGAGTGCAAGTCGAAGTGTTCAGAAGACTAAGAGATATGATGAATATAGATAGCTTAGACACAATGAATTAGGTGGTGTATTTAAAGTATAATTATGTGTGTCGAAGCAGCTTGCTCGATTGAAAACAAGGAAGTGTCGAAAAGATTGTGTTGAAGCGTGGAAGTAGTTTTTTACACACAAATTTGATTTAGATCTAAAATAGATAGATTTGATTTAAGTCTAAAACATATAGATTTGATTTAGTTCTAAAATAGGTATTTTGGGCTTGTATAGTTTTGGGCTTTGGCTTAGAGAGCAAGCTAGATTAAATCTACAAATAGTGGGCTTTTCCTTATTAATCAAGTTGTATTCATAGAATTTGTAGTTTTAAGTGAATAAGAAGTTTTCCACAATTTGTGGGAAGAGAGAAACTCTGCAGAAAATCATTGTATTTCTTTTCTTTCATTCATTTTTTTCATTGTCATTGTATGGTGATAACAATCTTGTTCATCAAGAATTACTGCACTTGCAATCCATCAGTAAATACTTTTAGGAATAAATCATAGTTGTTCAAAATCTTCAACAACAACATCAACACCATTATTTGAGATGGAAATCAAAAGCTGAAAAAATCTTGTTTAAGGTAGAATAACATTTTTTTACAGTTTTGCAATACTTCACAAAAAATTATGCATTCGACTGTGGAGTAGCTACAAATAGGATAGAATTAGGGTGAAACCTGTTCAACAAGTGTTTTTATAGTAAAATCTGATTATTTTATCCATCGGGTTTTAAAAGAAAGCAAAGGGTTGGATCATTAATTTACAATTGTAAACAAATAAAAACATAAACTGCATTAGCTAGGATTCAAAGCATGTCTTGAATGGTATATGTCATTGATTTTTGAAATAATCGAGGGAACAAGTTGTTTAAAAAAATGGCGCGCCTTGGTATAGAAAACCTCAGTTTTATTCTGGATGACGTGAAAGTTTCGTCATGAAAAGTGTTATTTGTTGTAGTGTTTGTATATCTCTTCCTTATCACATATCCACTGAGACAATTATACCACATGTGTCCATATTAATTTTACGCTCAGAGAGACTTATTCAATTTGATGGAGTAGGTTTCTCGAGATTCATAATTGTGTATCTTCGATATATTAAATTCTTTATGGAGTTTGTGTAACAATTTTTAACTTTAATAATAATTATTATTAATAATAAAAACCAATTTTAATGTGGTCCATAGCTTGTGGGATTTTGGTTCTGAAAAGAGTATGATTTATTTTGGTCTTAATGAAAATTGATACGACAATTAATTTGGATGGTAATGGATTTTAATGGTTTTAAACTCTTGATGTTAGAATCAAGCCTATAAATAGTATTTGGTTCCTAAATCTTTCTCTCATCGCTTTCATAAATACACCATCTATATCGAGAGAGCAAGAGCTTGAAAGAATCAAAGACAGTTCACTCACAACACTGCAACAATGACTGGAGATAAACTTTTAATGGGCTAACATTTAGTATCAGAGCTTCCATTGCTTCTTCCTTGTTTTTGTAGTAGTTCTTTAAAATTTGGTATTTTTGTGATTTAATATTGAGTTTTAAACAATTTGTTTTCTAAGAATTTTGTTTGAACATTACCCAAGATAAATAGTAACTAGGATGTACAGTAATCATGATTTCTGGAAATTTCACGAAAGGAACATTAAATCGATGAATAGTAAATCAAAAAAGTAATTTTTTTTTCACATACTAGGTATCAAACTCGCACCCTATTCCTTTGAATTTAGAATCTCAGCCGCTTGACTAATTGGTTTATCATGCAACCTGATTTTGTTTATAAAGATTTACAGTTATTTTACTGATAATTTTATGCCTCATTCATTCACTAATCTTTGAATTAAATTTGTGGGTAAATTAAAATTTGATTATAATGTTAATATAATTATTTTGTTACTAAAATAATTGAGTTGTTATGTCCAGTGCTTGTTATAAGTTTAATTAGTTTGGATTATCCACAACATCCTTAAATTAATTGAGATTATTTCTAAAGTTTTGATATCACAATAGTTATAAGACATAAAATTGTGATTAATTATATGTGGGATAATGAATTTTATCCTACAAGAATCTTCATAATATTTGTATAATTAATTAAGATAAAATGTCAAATTAGTTTCATAACTTGCCCACTAGAATTTTGAATTGGTATATAATTTGATAGTTTTACTATAAAGTATAATTTTGGAACAAAATTATTTCATGCACGTAATGTATGAGGTTGTGTATCTAGTTTGAAAAATCTATCACAAAATTAAATAAATCTTATTACATTAAAATTTAGTGGGATATACCAATTTAAGTTGGTGTAGTTATGTTGAGGGTCAAATATCTATAACAAGAAATGTGTTTATGCTAGGTGTGTTGTACCCAAATTTTTGCCCCTAAGATTCCTCTATCATCTCATACCATCACAATACAACTAGATCACAAACTAGGGTTTGAGGTTTTTCTTCTACTGCATCCTGTCTTTAGGTTTGCCTATGGGAATCACCAAGAACCATGAAGCACCTTGAGTGGTGTACCTTGTACATGTATGGTTTTAACTAACCTCAAAATAGGTATATTTGTCTCTTGGAATATCATATTGTAGGTAATGGCACAATTGCCTTCATCTCACCATCTCCTAACATAGAGGATCAAAACTAGGGTTTGGATTTTAATCAGGAAATCTTTGGACTTTTGGGAAATACTTGATCCCATACTTCTCTACATGATCATGAGCATCTATAATTGGAAGTTTGATCATCAACTTTGGCTTGAAAATGTTCAATTGATGAAAAGGGGTAAAATGGTCATTTTGTCAGAAGATAGCCAAAATCAACTATTGACCAAGTGGACTTTTGGTCAACTATCAATTCAATATCCATTTTCTCACATTTCATGGTCAATAGTGGCAAAAATATCAAGAGGAAGTGTGAATTGGAGATAAATTGTCAAGGAAGTTATTTGGAATTTTCCTAAGTGTTCATAGGGCTAAATTTTGATTGACCATAACTTTCTCGATTTTTATTGAAAATATGCAAACCTTATAGAAAGAGGATGAAAAATTCTTCAACTTTGTATGAGAGGCCTCAAGTGCAAAAAATGAAAGGAGAAAAATTTATGGAGCTTGGAAGTTTTGGACACATAGTGAAATTTTGGATAAAAATGCAAAAATCTGACTTCTTCATATTTAATTTTAAATGACCATTTGGACTCAAATCAAAAAGTTGGCAACATGAAAGTTTAAGATTGAAGTTTTCTCTTAATTTTTCATTCAAGAATCATCTCAAATGGTTAAGTGTAGAAAAAGATATGGTTCTTAGGATTTGGAGTTTCAAATGGCCATTTTGCCTAGCTCAAGGCAAGTCACGCACTAGGCCTGGCATTTCATAAAACATTTAGTGGGCACACATTCATCATCACTTTTCTACGAGAAATATTCATTATTTTGGAAAATGTCCAACATCAAAGATCAAGCCCTAAATGTGAGGGACAACTCTGCTTCAGAAAGTTTCTCAAAATTCTCCCTACATCTTGAGATATAATTGTGTGAAGAAAGCACCATGTAAGCTGAATTCTTGCCCAACACAAGGCATCACGCGTGTGCAGAATGCCC